CCTTTTATAAGATTTTTCTTCCTTCGAAAGTGGTCTTTGTTTTTTGTATCTGTTTGTTTTCTTATTTTTTTGTCAATGTATATTTTCTTTGAATTTATTTTTTATTCTCTGTTTTTTGTAGCTTTCTGTTTTCTTTTTTCCAGGTTTCTGCTTTGTATTTTCTTATGTGGGGTTGTAAGTCTGGTTTTCTTAGTGGTTTGTTTTCTCAGTGTTACCTTTTTTTTTGGTGGTTTTGCTTCTGATTGACAATTTGTTTTTCTTTTTTACTTTGGTAGCATATTGTTATCTGTTTTGCTTTGTTATTGTGCTTTTGTGATTTGTAAATTGTTTTTCCTTTTTCCATTTGTTTTTAAATTTGTTTTATGGTTTGGTTTGTTTGCTCCATTTGCTTCTGGCATACCTGTGATTGTTTTCTGTTTTTTTTCTGGAATTTTAGCTTTGTGGTAGTTTCTTGTTTGGTGCTCTCTTGAAGTTTAGTGTTTTTGCTTTTATTCAGTGTTTATTTGTGGTGGCTTTTATTGTGTGTTGCTGTCATTTTTTGGGATGCTCTTTTTCTAATTGGTTTTTATCTTTGTTCCTATTCGTTAGTTATGTGGTCAGAACATATTGAGGGGATATTACGCATGCCGGAGGTTGAGGTTTTTACTATGGGATTTTACTTCATCTGTTTGGTAGCTTGCTGTGTTGGGTTGAGGTTTTGGTTTGTGAATTTTGTGATCCAAGTCCCATAATTCTGGCTTCAGACGTTCTGAAATAGGTTCATGTTTTGAAATCTGAAATGGGCTTTTAGAATTTTTTTGATTTTAAGGAAATTTATTTGCTTTTGATGATGAAATTGATTATATCAGGCTCAAGGTTTTGAGAATAAGTTCCGAATATGTTGCTTCATACTACTTGCTAAAAAGGTTCCCATTTCTGAAATGATCTTAGTGTTGCATTGTTATAGTTCTGTTCCTATTTAGGAATGTTTCCTCAGTATTTACTTCCTCTTTTGTTGTGTTTTTCATGATTCAGCCATGCATAAAATAGGTTCTCATTTTTTCTAAGGTCGAGATGCTTATGTTTCTTAATTACCATTGGCATATCCCTTCACTGAATCTCTGGACAGGATTCATTGCAATTAGTTTTTTCCCTTTAAGGAATGGATTCTAATTTGTTATTCCCTATGTTGTTGCATGCTGAAGATTTTTGAGACTGGTGACACAGCATGAGGAATGAAAAGTTGGGCAAAGAGCAGAAGATGGCTCAAGTTAAAGTTAAATTGCGAAAGGCCATGAATTGCCTCTGCTCAGGGGAACTTGCAAAAGCAGATGAAATGATCCCTTCTTCTGAATCACTTGCAACTAAAGATTGTTCCACAAGTGTTTATTCTTCTCAAGCTAGAGAAGCTGAAATGAAGCCTGATGCAGGCAACATTGAAGAGGTTGAATCGTCTCTGCGTGAGAGTGGTTCTTTGAATTATGAGGGGTTGTCAAAAGCTTTCTTTTCTGAACATCTTTTACTTAAGTTTTGCAGTTTCTTGCTTGTGAATGCTTTCTTAATTTGTGTTTTTTCAAAGTTAAATGATTTCTTGGCTGATCCTTTGCTTGCACTAATTTGTCCTTACTTTTCAAGAAGCTAGAGCACTGTTAGGAAGATATGAATATCAAAAGGGAAACATAGAAGCTACTTTACATGTTTTTGAAGGAATCAATATTGTTACAGTTACTCTGAAGATGAAAATCACACTTGCCAGACGAGGAGACCATCCCAGAAAACAATCTCAAAATTATTCCTCGCTGCCCATGTCATTACATGCTGTTAGTTTGCTCCTGGAAGCAATATTTCTAAAAGCGAAATCTCTTGAGGCTCTTGGGAGATATAAAGGTAGTTTTCAACTACTTGGTGAAACTTCAATCTGTTTTCTATAAGTCCATATCATACATTTCTGCTGGTTTTTTGAGTTTTGAATGTCTTTACCTACTTTTGCTGCACTCTGATCATTCTTCTTAGATGTTCTTTTGATAGTGATGTCATGTTAAGACTACAGTACATTTTTTATTGCTCATAATTATTAGATTTTACGGTCACTTTCTTAAAATGCTTGTAAGACTTTTCCTGACATTTATTGCCCTTTTGCCAGATTACTTGGAAAATAGAGATTGCCCCCTCATTTTGTTATTCTCCCAGTACTGTCCCATGTATTACTATAATTTTCTGCTTCATGCAATTGAAAATTTGAACTTGGAGGGCTACCACAATCAAAACACCTTGACTCAGAAGTTGGATTCCAAAAGACTTTCTATAATTTCATGACAGAGATGGTGGTGTATTTCATTGTACTGGAATTTGTGGGCAATAGATTTACTACTACTGAAATTTTTAAATTTGCAATGCAATGGATATATAACTATTTAATTCGGTCTACCGACTGATGTAAGCGAGATCATTTCTATTGAATAACACTTATGCCTAGCTTTTGTACTTCCCTTTGTGTTTTGGGGGTTTGTATTCTAACACTGACATGCATGAATGTAAAGCTCTTGCTTTTTGCAAATTTTCCAAGTTTTCCTCTGTATTGGTGACAAAGAGAAGGAGGATTTCCAAGGCCAACACATAAATTTTTATTTTCTGGCTAATACATAATTCCTATTATCTTGCAGAAGCTGTTCAATCATGCTCAGTTATTCTAGACATAGTTGAATCTTCATTAGCAGCAGACTTGCCTAAAAACTTTGCTGTTGATTGTAAATTGCAGGAAACACTGAGCAAGGCTGTTGAGTTACTTCCAGAACTGTGGAAACTTGCTGATTTTCCCAGTGAGAGAATCATTTCATACCGGAGGTCCCTTCTTCATCCATGGAATCTTGATGCACACACTGTTGCCAGGATTCAAAAAGAGTTTGCTGTCTTTCTTCTTTACAGTGAAGGTGAGGCAAACCCTCCAAACGTGTGATCCCAAATGGACAGTTCTTTGTTCCTAGAAACAATATTGAAGAAGCTATTCTTCTTTTGATGATTCTATTGAGAAAAGTTTCTCTCAATAGAATTGAGTGGGATCCATCGGTTTTGGATCACTTTACTTATGCATTGTCTGTATCAAGGGGTTTAAGGGCTTTAGCTTACCAAGTGGAAGAATTGCTTCCGAGGACAATAGAGCAGAAAGATAGGTATGAGAAGCTAGCCCTCTGTTATTATGGAGAAGGCGATAAATGGGCTGCTTTGAATTTGTCAAGGAAGTTGTTGAGTAGGGCGGTTGATCCGACATGTGTTCTAGCTTTGCTATTGGCTTCCAAACTTTGCGGGGACAGGAACTCTGCAGAGGAGTTTGGTTGAAGGGGAGATGAAGAGGAGGGGACTGTTGGCGTTGAAATTGAGAGGTAGCTTTGAGAACCCAAATGGAAAAGACGGCAAGAAAGGTTAAAGAGGAAGAGATTGTAAGAGGAAACACCAGAAATCTAGCGGGCTTCATCGAAGGACTTCTCTGCTTCTCCATTGTAGTGGGTACTAATCATTGTAACTTTAATTAGGAAATAGTAGGATATATACTACACATTAAATGGTTTGGATTACAGCATTGCAGAGAATCAGTAGTCAAACTAGATTTGGTACCGTTAATAGGGAAAGGAGGACATTGCAGTGTCAACTTGAGAACAACTGATGCTTCTTTTACCGAGTCTCTTTGTGGGTTACATTATCAGAATCATTGCCAAATTCATGTAATGGAATAGATTTAAAGTCTCTGCACTTCCTTGAAGTTTATAGCACTTTGGATTATCAACCTTAATCTATATGGCTCAGTGCTATTTTTCCCTTTGTCAACTGCCATGCAAATTCATATTGATATACAAAAAAATAAATAAATTTGCATAACATGCTGGATAAAAGAAGAATGTACCGAAATTCAATCACTCCCTTGATCCTCATACTTGGCAGGGCATATTGTCTTTAGTTACCTACGCGCATCGCGCGTTTTATACCTCCTAGTACTTGAAGCAACGGATAACCAACCCTTAACATGCGCAAATACCAAATTCGCAAAACACTTCTTAACTCAAAACTTAATCCACAAACACCAAATTAGCAACAACCCTCGGAATCAAGTGATCACTGCAACTTGACTTGTACTCTTTTTCCGCAAATGTGGCCATCTAGCTAGAGCCAATTAGATTTGGTTAGCCCTACAACAACAAAAAAAATCAAAAGAATTAGAAAAAACTTGTCTGGGGGAGGGCCCAAAGTAAAGAAAAGATACACGTGTTGCCCTGATTCTTGAATCCATCTTGATACACCATCCCTTACCCATTTCCCCTTTTTGAGATCTTTGGATGACGTGGCCTTCTATCTATCTCAAACCTCCCAAACAGCCCCTTAACCTCATACCCACACTCCCTCCCCCTCCCAAAATCTAGCCATTTAGTCTCACGCGCTTTCCCTTCGCTTTTTCAGTCCCTTCCACGTAAGACTCCATGCTATCCTACGCACTTGTGCACTCTACACCCAGCTGTCTGAATCTCAACCGTTCATTTTGAAGATCGGACGGGTAATAGAGATGCCAACTGTGTCGGCGCACATTAGCATCAACCATTAAACGAAAAAAGTGCAATTAAAATAGTAATAAATTCGCCAAGAAAAAGCCAAGGCTGAGACAACAGCAGCAAAGACCTCATTTTCACTCATCAGCCTTTCTTGTTCTTCTTGCACCTTCTACTATTGTGTCTACTGTGTGTGTGTGTGTGTGTGTGTGAGGGAGAGTGTTTTGTGGGGTTGATAATAACGTTTGCCATATCCATGGTGGGCTGCTGAGATATTTGTTTTTCTTTTCTGTGTCGTTGATTTTTGTGGAAAAGATTCAATCTTGGCCCTTTATTTTAATGATTGGCTCAGACCCAGTTGCCAATTGATTGCTACAAGTTCAGCTTTTTTATGGAGGGATTTTTGCTAACTTGCGCCTCCTGTGCGCCGGTTTACTACAGCATAAGTCTAGTTGTATCTGGAAAGTGGAATTTCTGGTGGAAGTTTTGACTGTGGTTTATTCTAATTTATTATCTATGTTGTAGTTGAAAAGAGGGGGATTTTTTGGTTTTTTTTTTTTTTGTTTTTAGTCATTTTTGGTTATGGGAATTTTGTAGTAGGGAATTTTTGGGATTGGTGGATTGGGGTCCCTGATTAATATAATATTTTTGGAAGATTTTTGGGGTGGAATTGATGGAGAAGGGTGATATAGGGAAGAGTGGAGATGGGTTTATAGATAGGAGTAAAGTTAGGATTTTACTATGTGATAATGATTCCAAGAGCTCTAAGGAGGTTTTTACACTTTTGTGTAAATGTTCTTACCAAGGTATATTCATAATCCTTGTATGATTATTTATGTTTATCTTAATGAAAGCTGTATATTTAGTTTAACATACCTGGAATATCATGACTTTGTTGCTTGTAAGATTAAAAAGTTGTAAAATTGGGACCAGCTATTAGGATGAAGTTGGTTGCAGAATGATTTCATGCTGATTGGTGTTTTACTTTTATATGATGCTTAAATTGTCTGTAACCTGGTGTAGTAGACGCTGGATCTTAATCATGAAGGTTTTTCATTAATCATCGTGGTAAGTCCAGAAGACCTTTATAGAGCTGGAGGGATCTAATTGAAAAGTTGTTTTTAAGTGATTTAGTAACTATGTATTTGTGTTTATGTTTATCCACTATAATGCTTTGGTAAAGTTTGTGGTTCAGGTAAGAAATGAGAAGGAAAACAAAAAGAACAGTGCTTTGCCTTGAAAAATTTCTCAGTTTCAAATCCAAGGTTTATAAGAGATATAGCTTGATCTTTTTCGTTATATTAGAAAGGAATGGAAATAATATGAAGGCTTCAAAATATTGATGATAAACCTGCATCTTCACCAAATAGTTCTGGTTTGCATTCACAGTTTTTGTTGCTTGTTGCTTTCCGTGGATTTGGTATTTGTAGGTCTTATTCTGTTTTCTTCATTAACCGGGGAAAATTGGTAGCTCTCATCAATGTATGAAAATGTTGACGTGTAACAGTTTGTGGAAAGGTGGGAACAAAAAAGGGGTGATGGTATATCTTTGCGTCGTGTTTGATTATTGTCAAGACTACAGAGATGGGATTAAATAAAATACTGAGATTTACCTTCATTCTCCTGTATAAGTCAGATGCTATCTGGTTTTTTGTGAAGCATATGAACAAAATGTTGCGAAGGCATCTCTAAATCATTGATGCATTGAATTTGTTGTGGGCCATCGTACTTCTTTAGGCACTGAAAATAATTTATCACATGCATTAACTTTGCAAGATGACCTTTGATTTCAGTGACTTCTGTGAGATCACCCAGACAACTGATTGATGCACTGAATGCTGAGGGGCCTGATATAGATATCATTCTTTCTGAAGTTGACCTTCCTATGTCCAAGGGATTGAAACTTTTGAAATACATTATGAGGGATAAAGAATTGCGACGTATACCAGTCATCAGTAAGTATAACTTTTCTTACCTGGGCAATTTGGTAAACTAGAGTCAAATGGTACATGGTTACGCTTTAGTAGTTTTAAAATGATTCTCGTTGCTATTTTGGTAGTGATGTCAGCGCAAGACGAGGTTTCTATTGTTGTCAAGTGCTTGAAATTTGGAGCAGCTGACTATCTTGTGAAGCCATTGCGCACTAATGAACTATTGAACTTGTGGACTCACATGTGGAGAAGAAGGCGAACAGTGAGTGCTTGTTAGATTTCTTGTTGTCAACAAATTATATTTTCTCTTCTGTTGGTTGTTTGCTTTATCAGCCATGCTTCCAAATTATATAGCATTTGATCAATTATGGAAAACTGAAAAACCAATTTTTTAAAGAATTTTGGTTTTATTACATATCCAAATTGGGGGAAAAAAAGATTTGACTTTCTTTAGATTCTGAAGATGCACCTCTCTGTTCTATCTACATATTCAAGCTTTTTACAGCCATGTTGACCTTAATGGAATTTGCTTTCTTCATTGACAGCTTGGACTAGCGGAGAAGAACATACTGAATTATGATTTTGACCAGGTCGTATCAGACCCTAGTGATGCTAACACAAACAGTACTACTTTATTTTCTGATGACACTGATGACAAATCCCGAAAAAGTGTTAATCCAGAAGCATGTGCATCAATCCATCAGGAAGAAGAGGTGAGAGATTTAAATATATATCTTCTTGTCTACTGGTGCCAGTTTTCCAATTCTTTCTCATTATAAGCAATGTAACTGAAATATGCTAAAAATTCAGAAAAGTAAAAGTATTTTGCTTAAAAAAATTAGGGGTGCAAAAGAGAACATGATTAGTTTTCTTTTTCCCCCCTAAGATGCCGAGTAAGACTCAATTTAACTCATGTCATGCCCAACTGGAGTTGAAGAGGCTGCTTCAGGTTATCAAGTAAGCTGCTTCATCAAGAAATTTACATGGAGTAATGCAAGAAAAATGGTCACAACTCACGTTTAGTAAATTTTGCAGCTTTATTTGTTTGAGACAGTTTATGGTCTTAAGTTCTTGATTGACGTACAACTTTGTAACATATTTTCTGAATTTTGGTGTCAATGTATCAGTTCATCTATAGTATCTTTGCCATGAAACAAACAATCAAAAAGGTAAACATAGAAATTTAAGTATTCCTTCTGAGGCAATTAAGTTGGTGCAAGATTCTTCATGTCCACAAAGTTGTGTATCAGAAGGGTGTTTGCAATGAGTGGGTTGTGCAAATCAAACTCAAATTTCCATTTTGTTGCTCTTCTGCTAATTTTTTTTCCCCAACTTAGCCATGTCTTCTGATTTTTGTGGTCGCTAATGTGCAATTTGTATTTTCAGCAAAATCCTTCAAGTGCAGATGCTCCTGTAGAGACTGTTATTATTGTCACATCAGAGTGTCTCCCTGATGTGCCTGGAATGAATGATCGAAGGACAGGTTAGAGGCATATGTGTTTTTGCATGTTCAGAATTTATTGTTTGCAGCCTACATTAATTCCTTTTGTTCTTTGTTGCTTTGGCTTTTGAATTGATTGAGTCTCATTGCACCACGTTCTGCATGCTATCTTGCTACAGTTTCATGGCTAGAAATGTAGTGCATCCACTGTAGTACTCTTGATTGAATTTCTTCGTTTACACATGATTTCATATGTTAAATTGCATGAGCAAGGAGAATCGGTTCTCTGATTGTACCTTATCTTTTATAGACAACACTTTATTGTGGATTTTGGTAGGTCAGAACCTCTCTTCCTAACTTAAAAATGAACTCTTGGCTGTAGATTGTGTTTCATGCTCAAATAGGCTATTTACATTCTTCAACATGTAATCTGGGGATTTAATATTTTTTTAGGAACCCTGAATTTTGTACCCACAAAGCATTCTTACTATCCTAATGTCTAGCTAATGCCACTGAAAATAGTTTATTTAGCATTTGCTTGTGGGAGTTTCACAAGTTCAAATGCAGCTTTGTTCTATATAAACCCTATCCTAAGTAGAGTTTAAGATGAGAATATTGCTTATACAACTTTATGACACTTTACAAAATATTGGACATTGTGACTATGAAAGCCAATGTTTTTTGCAGTAATCCTGTTCATTGCATCATGCTTTTATGTAGTGGAGTAGCAACACTGTTTCTGTATCTCAAGTTAAGTTACATTTTATGAGTATCTTTTTAGTAGCTGCTCATGTTTTTTACCTTCCTAACATGGATCAGGTACAAGGTTGATGGGCATTTCTTCTATGGGAATTTGAAATGCAAAAATCTGCAAGGCATAAAGGAAAAGAAAAGGAAAATTTTGGAATTAGATAAAATGTGAATTTCATTCTAAAAGAAAGTAATTGTTTAAGGATTCTCCATGAAGTGCTACAATCAAATCATTGATTTTCTTTTGAATTTGTGTAGAATTCAACTCCCACGTTATCCATTTATGCACAAGAATTATTAGTAATGGGCTAGTAATAAATTTTCAGGTTTTTTTTTTCTTCAATTTCCCTCTAGTATACGTATTAGGATTTTGCTAACTTTTTCAGGGCAAATTGCCTCATTTCCAAAGAAGAGTGAGCTAAAGATTGGCGAATCTTCTGCCTTCTTTACATACGTAAAATCCAGCTTGCCAAAAAGCAACTGCCAGGATGCTGCCCCATTGCATGAAAATGTGTGTCAGCATTTGACAATTGAAGAGAATCTTAACGCACAAGGTGGCCATATCAATACTGATTCTCAAGTAACTATTACTAATGATGCTCTTCAGAACCGTTCCAATGGAGAAGGTTGTCCTAGTAATGACAGCATCCATGATTCCTTTTCTGTGGAAAGGTCCTGTACACCACCTTTATCACTGGAATTCTTGCAGCAAAGGAACTTAAATGAGTTCTCTCAGGTGCCTACACATCCAAGAAATGAGCCTCACCATGATGTTTCAGGGTTTCACCCACACAGTGCTTATCCATATTATATTTCAGGAGTAATGAATCAAGTTATAGTGCCACCTTCCCCAATGTATCAAAAGAACCTACCAGATGTACATAGTCATTCACCGATGTTACCTCAATATGGCCATATCCCGCAGTGTTCTCCCCATGTGCCAGGGATGGCATCTTTTCCCTACTACCAAGTTGGAATCTGCCTACAAACAGGCCAAATGCCTACAATGCATCCATGGCCATCATACGGAAGTTCCTCTTCTGCTGAAGGGAATGCAAGTAAAATTGACCGTCGGGAGGCAGCATTGATGAAGTTCAGGCAGAAAAGGAAGGAAAGGTGCTTTGACAAGAAAATCAGGTATGTCAATAGAAAGAGGCTCGCAGAAAGGAGACCTCGTGTACGGGGACAATTTGTAAGGAAAGTAAATGGTGTTACTGTGGATCTCAATGGACAACCAGCTTCAGCAGATGATGAAGATGATGAAGAGGAGGATGAAGATGAGGAGGACCAAGTAACTAACTTGGATTCATCACCTGATGATGATGCTTTGGTATGTCAACGATGAAGTGCACTTTATGGAGTAACTCTTTATGGAGTAACTCAACAGACTGTAATTTCCACTTCAATCACATAGCTTTGTTCCAAAATGCCCATTGTTTATTAGATCGTCATAAATCTAGAGTCTACTCCATTGCTGGGTTCAGAATTGTGATCCAGCATTAGCAATATCCTCCCAGAAGATGCTGGGCGATTGCTGCCAAATGCTGTCATTGGTTTTCTTCTGAGGATATTGGGGTATTAAGGGATTTCCAGTTCCGGTTGTCTGAAGATATGAACCTGTGGAGCTGCTGAAAGAGATTCTTGGGCTGATGTACTTCATCCTCTGATGTAGTTTGGTGTAATGGTATAAAGTTATTACCCCCGGCATTACTTATTTGTTCAGGTGTACGAACTGTTTTGTCGAATTGGAACTGCTAAAGATAAGATTCGAGATGTGCTTTCTGGGTTAAACGAGTTGGTGAAACCACAGTTAGAATTTTTCTGAAAAGCCTTCACTTAATTAGGAGTCTGCAATGATAACCTGTTTGATATAATAGTGATTTACAGCCGCCTATTTTAGTGTCACAATTTACCTGTAGTACTTTGGTCGACTTGAGGTTACTGGTTGAGTTTACTCCTTGATGAACTCACGTGCTGACTAGCTGTATGGATCCAATATCTGGAAGTGAGACGAGCAGATCTCCTGCTTACCCTATAGGCTCTAAGAATGTTGCTTGACAAATGCTTCTCAAGTCAATTTGTTGTCAAGGAAGAAATCTTTTCCAAGCTATTGTTTTAGTCACCACACACTACCGTACAAGAAAGGAGGGTCAGAATTGCAATTAGGGATTGAAATACTTCCACAACTGTAGTCGAACAGGTGCAGTAGCATTTGAACCTTAATTAATTCGTCTCTGAATCAGAAGTAAACGGCCACATGCTAAGGACCGTTTTTCCACTGGGTATATTACTAATTCGAGTATCCTAAAATACGAGTCGAGTCTCTGAAGCTTGTACCAACCAACTAGCTCCTTCAGTTTATCAATGACTTGACCAAATTCCATCTATTTCTTTTATTTCTGAAGACCATCAGAAGCTAATTGTCCAGTGCCATTAATAGCCCTGATTGCTCAACTGCAGGTGAAAAAACAATTGAATTGTAAATACCAAGCCAAGGCAGCTGAGTTCTCCATCCCAAGGACGATACAAGATTAGAGCCCTATGAATAGAGCAAAAGAAAGATCTCGTAATCGATTATCAAAATAAATCTGATTAATGACACTGATAAATATGTGTTATGACAGTATTACATTTTACAATTACATAACAATCAATGATATGCAGAAAACAGGACCAACAAGGTCAATCGACCCAACACACAACTACCAAAACCAGCATGGCAGATTCTATTTAAGATTTTCCACACATGACTTTCCAAACCAAAGTCTGAGAAGTGAACGGGTTTCCCAAAGAAGAGCTGGCAAGCTAATGGGCGAGCTTAAAGTAAAGAATCAAAATTATTGCAATGACTAGAGCTGCAATAATGGAGCCGATGATCCATTTGTTTCTGCTCATCCTTCTTGACATGTTAGTCAGTATCTTCTTGCTCCTACTGATGTTGTCATCCACTCCATGCAGCTGCAAAAGAAGACAATTACTCAATTGTTTTGTCTCAAAAATAAGAGACACAATGTCAGCTTAGCTCATATTTCAAAGCAATTAAATGGTTTACATGTACTCCTTATTCCCAGAAGAGCATACAAAGTCAACTTATTTCACCAAAAATTTCTTTACCTAGTAACACAGGTAGATAATAACTGGCATAACGTTTTACGTTCAAATAGAAGAAAAAGAAAAGAAAATCATGAAGCTGCACACCAGTAAAAAACTTACATCATTACTTTTAATAGGATTAAAGGAATCATACCGTATTATTGGCATGCAGGAGAGACTGACGTTGTTGATGTAAATCCTGAAGGATCGAAACTCCAAGATCTTCAGTTTCTAACATCACTTTCCGACTTTCCCTAATCCTGTCACTGGACTTGTTTAATCTCTCAGTTGACATCATCAACCTCCCTCTTTGATCAGCAGCTACCTAACATCACGTTTCAGTATTCCATCATGTAACATACTCTCAAGAAACAATTAACACCCAAAGAAGTATCACCAAACAAATTATGTTGAGCTAGTAGCATTCGCACATCCTTTGACATGTAGAAACAGGGAAATCATATACACACCCCTTCTATTTTCTTGTACATCCTTTTAACTAATGGGGTTTGGGGAGCTAAAAAGGCTGTGTAAATAAATATCATTTCAAAAAATATTGGTATAATTTGGTAAAGCACATTCTGCAGCTTGTTTAAATTGTCTATAAATGCTAATTTCTGAACCGGAACAATTACAAAGTTCCAAGAATAAACACATGATGCAGATACAGATTACAGAAAGTCCTAAGAGAACAAAAACAACTTTTCCAACTAGTACTGGTAGATATGAGATCAAAGTTGGAGAATCTAAGACCTGGATAATTCTGTCATGTTCCTCTCACTTCTCACTATTCTATTTCTTCTTACAGTGCCTAGTTTTACAATAATTACTGGGTTTGGTTATTCTGTACCTTAACCGTAGCCCGCTAAACTAGCCAAGAAATGATATTATAGACCATATTTGCACTTGGAGGAGATGTAATTATTATTTCTTTTTGGCAAACAATAGCAGCATAGGAGTCCTGAGACAGCTTCAGATAGAAAAACATTTGGTGAAGGCATATAAACTGCCACCATTTATGCTAATTGTAATGGGCACTAAAATTCATTACTTCTGTAGCATTTAGGCTTCAATACCTAGAAACCCCTGATACACTCGCTAGAAAAGAAGGTTCAAAACAAGATGTCTATCCAAATGCATATTATACAAACAACACACAGACAACTCATGTCAAAATTTATCCTGTCCAACTGTAGACAAGCAGGGTGAAAGAAGAGTGAAGTAGTACAACTTATACAATACATATACAGTGACTACTATTATACAGCAAAAGCTTATCAAATAATATGTCGATCGAATAAAAAGGTGATAACATTATATAGATGAAGAAGCCTATACCTTCAAGAAGAAATCATGATATGTTTGTCAACTCGAAACAAGAGGCAAACGCTTCAACATATTGGACAATTTGTGTAACGAGTCAACAGAATAGGACTCAAATGATTTGTAATAAAAGATTGGAGGATACCATCATAGCGTCAGCCATGCCTGATTCTAGTAGTTCATCTCTTGCAGCCTGATTAGAATTAGCTGATGAGATTCTTTTTACTTCAGTCTTCAAATTATTCAGATCCGTTTTATACTCTCTTAACTTAGCAAGAAGTGAAGCCTTGACACTTGGCGGCAAACTTCGAGCCTCAAGGTCCATTTTACGAATCTGCAACATTAAAAAAGCAGCCACAGTCATCTTAAATCCTATACTGGGAGAAAAAAAAAAGGAAGAAGTAGTTCCATCCAACTGAAGATACTATTACGTTACCAAAGTATCAGCATCATCCAATCCTGCTTTTACTTCAGATATTTTCTGTTTTTTCTGCTCTGCATATATTCAAAACAAGATCACAAAGGAAATCCCTATCAAGGAGGGGGGGAAAACTTTGACTTAACATTTGTAAGCAGTGGAGACATTTACACAAATCACTCATAGATCACATTTCTTTAGTTTGTAAATGGACCAGGTTTTGAAACATTGACTCCATTTATCTCCATCCAACACAACAACAACAAAAGTTGCATCAATTGCAACTGAATTTGGAGCAATATTTCCGATCCTCTGGCACATATTCAACTCAATTCGACCTGAATTCTGCCTCAACTTTTGCAATTTGCATCAATTTCAACTGTATTTGGAGCAATTTTTTAAATCCCCCAGGCACAAATTTAATTCAATTCAACATCAATTGACTTGATTCTAACTTAATCTCCCTCAACTTTTGCAATATTGGATCAATATTAACCTAAATCGTTACAATATCCCATTAAGCATGATTTTCAAAATGTTTAGTTCAAATTGAGCTAAGATTAGCAATTATTCAAACAAAACAAGCAGAGATTGATGCAATTTCAAAATAATTGGGATACTACATAATTACCACAACATTAAAGCCTCCAACATAAATGAACCCAGCTTCAGCAGTAAATTCCTCGCAAACATACAAAATAATTAACAAAAACATCGGGAAAAGAGGGAAATTTTCTGACCTCCATCGAGGATAGTGGCAGTAGTGCATTTTTTGGATAAATTAGCCGAAAGCTCACAGTATTGCCTTTCGTATCCATCAAAAACCTGACTCATTTTCTCGTCCTCTTCCCCAAGTAATTACCTTCAACGTTAACCACCAAATTCAATCAATTTCTCAAATCAGAACCGAAATTTCTCCACAAAATTGTTCAAATATCATGCAAAATTTACATTAGAAACAAAAACTGCAAAAAGAAAAATGTAAATCAAAGGGAATCGAGATTCAAATAGTAATTGAGAGTTGAGACGAATGGATCATTACCTTGGAAGTGATGGTGGATCTGCTGATCAGATCGAAAGAGAGAAAGATGAGAATTTTGGTTTCTGATTGATCAAACAAATCACAAGTCAAAAAACGATTGGGCCTTTTGGGAATAAAGGGAAAGTTAAAGGCTAGAAAGTTCTATTGCCACTCCCCGACAACTATTATTCGGGCAATTCCAAATACTGTCCAGCCCCTTTCGCTCAAACTACTCTTTTTGGCCAATATGAATTTGTGTTGATTTGACTGTTTCTTTCACGTCAATTTGTGTTGATTTATTGACTTTTTTCATGATTACTGCACATAAACGAAAGTATTAATTGCATTTACTTCCTTGAGGTTTAACTAAATTACCAATCAAATTTTGAACTTTGACCAAATAGCAGTTTAACCCTTTGATAGTGCAAAAATTTAGCAAAAATTCACTTACCGTCTCAAGGAATTAGAGCAAATATAAGTAAAAAAGTAACTCTAGAGCCCTAAAATGCCCTAATAAAGCCTATACCTTTTTTTTGCGGACACGATAAATTTTATTTTACACCACTCCTACTCTATATTAAGGGGAAGGAATGGACCCAAAAGAGTCAATGGAAAATTCAAAGGGAACTGAACCGCCTATAAATTAGAGCCTATATGTTAGAGCACAAAATGAAGCAATTTTAGAGCCCCAGAATGCCCTCATAAAGCCCATGTGTCATCATTGGCTTTTCTGAAAGTAATAATCAATCACTTTTTCTTTTTTTTTTTTCTCTTGGAATATAACAAAAAAATGGACTTACAAAACAAAGAAAAGATTTTGACAATATTTTAGATAGACAATCGCAAGCTAAGAAAAGAAAAAATTACTATATATTAAGAGAATAATAGAATAATTTAACCAAGAATTGGTCAGGAGAGGATGATGTTATTGTTGAGCCGAAGGAACGGGTTGGTAATCATGATTTTCAACAGAGTTCAAACAATATCAGGGGTGCAAATTTCTTTTTTTTTTTTGGGCTGTAATGGCAACAATTTAA